ACCCAGGTGCAGGGCCTTGCACTTGGCCTTGTTGAACCTCATGAGGTTCACACAGGCCCACCTCTCTAGCCTGTCCAGGTCTCTCTGGATGACATCCCGTCCTTCTGGTGTGTCAACCGCACCACTCAGCTTGGTGTCATCTGCAAACTTGCTGAGGGTGCACTCGATCTCGCTGTCTAAGTCATTGATGAAAACATTAAACAGCACCGGTCCCAGCATGGACCCCTGAGGGACACCACTCGTCACCGGTCTCCATCCGGACCATCGAGCCATTGACCACTACCCTCTGGACACGACCATCCAGCCAGTTCCTTATCCACCAAACAGTCCACCCATCAAATCCATAGCTCTCCAATTTAGAGAGAAGGATGTTGTGGGGGACCGTGTCAAAGGCTTTGCAGAAGTCCAGATAGATGACGTCTGTTGGTTTTCCCTTGTCACTGATCACTGTCACACCATCATAGAAAGTCACTAGGTTCGTCAGGCAGGACTTGCCCTTGGTGAAGCCATGCTGGCTATCTCGAATCACCTCCCTGGCCTCCATGTGCCTTAGCATAGCTTCTAAGAGGATCTGTTCCATGATCTTCCCAGGCACAGAGGTGAGGCTGACAGGTCGGTAGTTCCCTTTCTACCCTTTTTGAAAATGGGTACAATGTTTCCCTTTTTCCAGTCACCAGGGACTTCACCTGACTGCAGTGTACAGTGGAAACAACTAAGAGCAAGGATAAAGCTTGATCCATCTCTATAGGGAGATTTCTGCCCTCCCCTGCAGCCTCATACTAACTGTTAGGTGTAATACAAATACTAGCATTCTTCATTCTGTACAAAGCATGTGCTCACAGGATGCTTGAGGAGCCTTGAGAGCAACCACTGGCAGTCTTCTGAAACAGAGCTCAAAAGAGACTGTGCCATAATAGGAACTCCTTGGACTCGGTCCTGTGCTGATACCAGGTAGACATGGGCTCTCTTAATTAACAGGCTGATCACTTGACTCTGGGATTTTTGTGGTCAGCATCATTTTTGGCTGCGTTCTGTAGGGACTGCAAACACTCGGAGGCTTTTGGTGGCTTCTGTTGCTCAGCTGGAGGAGGCCTATTACTGAGTGGTGTGGTGGTGTCTCCCTTAAATGTCAGTGCTCTGGCAGACCTTCTTGGAAGATTTAATTAAATCTTTGGGTTGGCTTTGGGTAAGTGCAATAAGATGTCTAGTTACAACATTCCTAATTTTACTAGAATTTGTCTCCCATACAGCAACAATAGTAGTATTGCAGCTGCTGTGGGTACTGGTATCAGTCCCTCGGTGCTAAATATAGTGGAAGTAACTGTAAATGTGACTGTACCCAAAGTGTCCTTCGCTGTAGCAGGCTTTATCATAGCTTGGTTTGGGTTGGAAGGGACCTTAAAGATCCAACCACTGCCATGGGTGGGGACATCTACCAGATCAGGTTGCTCAAAGCCCCATCCAGTCTGACCTTGAACACTTCCAGTGATCGAGCATCCACAACTTTTCTGGGCAGCCTGTTCCAGTGTCTTACTGCCCTCATAATAAAAAAGTCTTCCTTGTGTCCAATCTAAATTTACCCTCTTTCAGTTTAAAACCATTGCCCCTTGTTATCTCCTGTCCTTCTTGGCTGGAGGCTCTGGGGTTAGGGACACTTGTTAATTCTCTATTCCTGTGGGTGGTGAAGAACTTCCAGGTAGTGTGACTTGTCATTTAAACCACAACACTGCCTTTCCCCTTAGTGCACAACCTCCTATTTTAGTATATCAGAGTTGTGTATCTTGGAAAATAATATATTTAGTTAGAAAAAGGGATTAGGCCAGGACTAGAATGATACCGGGCTAGTTAATGAGGTCCATCCTGGAAGAGCAGGAGCTAAACTTACTCTTTTGTTTCCTAGATGCGCTTGCTTCCCCTGAGGCAGAAGAAGTCTCACCTGATGGAGATCCAGGTGAATGGTGGCACTGTTGCTGAGAAAGTGGATTGGGCCCGGGAGAAGCTGGAACAGCAGGTGCCTGTGTCAAGTGTCTTTGGCCAGGATGAGATGATAGATGTCATTGGAGTCACCAAGGGCAAGGGATATAAAGGTAAATGCATGGAAGTTCTCTAAGTGTGTGGGTGAAGAGCTGAAGGGGTAAATCCTTACTGCTGTCACAGTTCGGTGATGAGACCATGGAATGAGCGCTGGGCACAGCGCCTGACATCCGTGAGGAGTCATTCCATGCTGCCTTCCTTCTGAGAACACAACCTGGGGACAGCCGGGGAGGGAGCGTGGGCTGTTCAGGGGCAGGGTGCTTCACCAGGAAATGGGGTTAATTCCTGGGGATGCCGAGTCTGGGCTTCCTCTTTGTTGCCCAGGGACAGCACCTTGAAAGGTGGCTTAAGCTCTGGTTAAAACAACTTGGTGACATTTCAGGGTGACAGCAGTTAGCAACACCACTTTGTTTTCTTCCAGGTGTTACCAGCCGTTGGCACACCAAAAAGCTGCCCCGCAAGACTCACAGGGGTCTGCGCAAAGTGGCCTGCATTGGTGCCTGGCACCCTGCTCGTGTGGCTTTCTCTGTGGCCCGGGCTGGTCAGAAGGGGTATCACCATCGGACTGAAATCAATAAGAAGGTTTGTGTCCCTGAACTGCTGGGGGGAAATGAGAGCTGGCCAAGGTCACTCACTGCATGACGTGAACGAATAGCAGAGAGGTTTTTGCTTTGGTGGTTTCACTCTGTTTGAATGTAATATTGGGGGTGGTAACTGTGGTCTGTTACGTTTGGATAACAATAGAATTCTTGTATGGCCACCTGTTTCCAAAGTGCAACAGGCATTTTTCTCCAATCCTGTGGAGAATTGTTTGTGTTTTGGCTGATGACGGGCCCTTTCCCCTGCCTTTTGTTTGCTAAGCAGAAATTCTTGGCTTTTTAGATCTACAAGATTGGCCAGGGTTACCAAATCAAGGATGGAAAGCTGATCAAAAACAACGCATCGACTGATTACGACTTGTCTGACAAGAGCATTAACCCTCTGGTGAGTTGTCGCAGCTGTATGGTCAGAGTCTGCTTGTGAGCTGCAATCTGAAGAGGCAAATTGGCCTGATACAAGATGCAGAATGATTGAATGAAGAGCCCTTGAGGGAAAACTGGGCTGCTGTGGGAGGTAGTGTTGCTTAGTCATTCTCAGTATTGACTTGTGTAACTTGCTAATTGCATTCCATGTGTGGCGATAGTATAGAGGGATGGTACAAACCTAGAAATCATCCTCGTAAATAAGGACTAACTTAGCAGGGAGAGCAGCTTTTGCTGTTTTCTCGGCCTCTTCTTGTTGCTGCTGTTCTTAGCAAAAGTCTTAAAGCAGCAAGTAAGTTGTATCACAAAACTCAGCCAGTGAAAGGTAACACTGGAAACAGGATTTCGGTGGATGTGGGAATGGCTGAGACCCAGAAGTGCTGTGAGAGCGCCAGGCTGTAGGCAGATGTGATGACTGGTCCTGCTTTGCACACAGCACTGACTGTCCTCTCCTTGCTCAGGGAGGCTTCGTCCACTACGGTGAGGTGACCAACGACTTCATCATGCTGAAAGGCTGTGTTGTTGGCACCAAGAAGAGGGTCCTAACCCTGCGCAAGGTGAGTAGTGCAGCCTGCTCTCAAGTGGGCTGGGACAGCGTAAGTTGGCTGCGCTGCCCCTGGTTACAGGTGTTGCTGGCTGCCGTGGGGATTCATGTAGCCAGCTAGAAAGAAAAGCCTAGAAGCTGTTGTTGGGCACAGGCACGCCAACCCACCTTGTATTAATGACCTCAAGAGTAGGGTGAGGGTCCTTTCCCTGGTTAATTTGGTCCAGGTCAGTTTGTAAGGATGTGCTTTAGGGTCAAGAATTCTGGACCGTAAGCACGCTGGCAGGCAGACTTGGGCTCACCTCCTGGTGTGGGCTGACCATTCTTCAGCCTTGAAGGCTGAAGGTGCAGGCTGGCTTATTGGGAGGTGCTCCTTGCACATTATAGCTGCTGAAAGTGTGAGGTCAGAGTGATGTAGGAGGTGTTAGCCATAGAGGTGGTAAGAAGTAGCCAGCATACTGGTAGGCCGAAAGGGCACTGCTGCGTGCTCACTGGCATCTCTCGTTTGTAGTCCTTGCTTGTGCAGACCAAGCGCCGGGCCTTGGAGAAGATTGACTTGAAGTTCATTGACACAACCTCCAAATTTGGTCATGGCCGCTTCCAGACAGCTGAGGAGAAGAAGGCTTTCATGGTAAGGACACTTTCTGAAGCTGGCAGCTTGGTGTTGTGTATCTCTGTATCATCTTTCTGCTAATGGCAGTTGGTAGCTTGACCTCTGGGCTGCCACAGGGCCAAAATTCCTATGAAACAAAGAGTGTAGCTTCAGTTGAGAGGGTTTACCTTGCCAACTTGGTTATACCTGCAGGGGGGGCTGGGGTCTCACTTCCCCTGCGACACCGCTTGGTGCCTGCGGGGTGTTGCCGTGTTTGGGCACAAGCTGCTCAGTGATGAGGCATGGAACAAACCCTGAGCGGTATCTGACACCCATGGGGAGCGGGCTCTGCGGGGCATCGCTTCTGGGAGCAGCTCCGGAGGATGGCGCTGGCAGCTGGATGCAGGTGGCCTTCTGGGTTTGTCACTTGCTGGAGAAGGCAAGGGGGGAGTCCTGGGTGGGAGGCCCTTGCTGGGCCAGAGCGCAGTTCAGCTGCTTGGGGGCTGCACAGGAGCTTCCCCACAAGGTGGCACCAGCATTTCTTCTGCTACATAGGAAGTCATCAATGTGGCGCAGACATGCTGCACCAAGTTTGGCTTTTCCCCCAAAACCTGTAGCTGTGGGGATGGGGCTTGGGACTTAGAACGGGCTGCAGCATTGAGGGCATTTTTTTCCTTTGTTTCTCTGCATCAAGAGGAGAAGAAATTACAGCCTCGTGATCAGGATGCGGTGCGGTCCTTGGTGCAGGCTGCTGTTTACATAGTTTCTTCTTATTTTTTTTTCAGGGACCACTCAAGAAAGATCGTATCGCAAAAGAGGAGACAGCTTAATGTGTGGAACAACGGTCTCGTGTCCTGTGTGCTCTCAGACCAAAAAAATAAATATTTTAAAGAAATTAACTTTTGCCTCTTGGTTTATACATAGCTGTGTCAAGTCTGGTACTCCGCCTGCAGGCCCTGTGCGTGGGACCAGCCAAACCAAAGCAGCAGGTAAAGCTCAAATTCGTGAGCGTCCCACTCACAGCAGAGTTCCTGTCACGGGAGAGTTGCCATCGCTGTTTTCAGAGAGCAAAGATTTTGGGGTGGCCCCGGGCTTCTCTGTTTGGGTGTGTAAAATAGTAAAGCAGCAGGAGCCCGCGAGGTGTTGGCAATTCCTGAGGTATTACTCCGCGTGTTAATCAGCTGCTGGGTGGCTGGAGAGCTCCTTTGCTTCAAAGAGGGTTTGAAATTGGTGAAACTACTTCAGATGGTTGAAACACGGCTGAATTTTAGCTAGGTGGCTGATGCTGGCTGTTGCCATGGAAACCCTCCAGTTTCTCTGTGACAGGGGACATCACCTGCATGCTGCTCACAAATGCAGTTTGTTGCTGTTCTAGATGACCTCTAGGGGTCCCTTCCAACCCAAAATATTCTATGATTCAGAGCAGCAGAAGGCGGCAGGTAAGGTGACAAACTCCCACCTGGCAGGGGCTCGGTGTTCCCGAATCCCATTCCCTGTCCCTGCTGAAGGCTCTGCCTGGTGATGGTCACGGGAGAGTTGCCATCGCTGTTTTCAGAGAGCAAAGATTTTGGGGTGGCCCCGGGCTTCTCTGTTTGGGTGTGTGAAATAGTAAAGCAGCAGGAGCCCGCGAGGTGTTGGCAATTCCTGAGGTATTATTCCATGTGTTAATCAGCTGCTGGGTGGCTGGAGAGCTCCTTTGCTTCAAAGAGGGTTTGAAATTGGTGAAACTACTTCAGATGGTTGAAACACGGCTGAATTTTAGCTAGGTGGCTGATGCTGGCTGTTGCCCTGGAAACCCTCCAGTTTCTCTGTGACAGGGGACATCACCTGCATGCTGCTCACAAATGCAGTTTGTTGCTGTTCTAGATGACCTCTAGGGGTCCCTTCCAACCCAAAACATTCTATGATTCTATGATTCAGAGCAGCAGAAGGCGGCAGGTAAGGTGACAAACTCCCACCTGGCAGGGGCTCGGTGTTCCCGAATCCCATTCCCTGTCCCTGCTGAAGGCTCTGCCTGGTGATGGGAAAGGGGCTGGCCTGGGGAGGGGGTGGGGATGACTTCTGCATCCCACCCTCCCTGGAGGAGGGAGAGCTGAAAGTGCCACTGGTGGGGGGTTACTGCCTGCCCCAGTTTGGCCAGTGTTCCCGGCCAAGTCCGACGGGGAGGGGACTGTAGTGCCTCTGCGCGGGGGACTGGCTCCAGGAACAGCACCAGTCCCGACGGAAGCATTGCAGCTCGGGGAGCTGAGGCGTTATACCAAGAAAGGCGCTTGTCTGCTTCCAGGCGGGATAGTGAGATCACTGGTGCTTCGGGCCGTAGCCTGACGGGCTCGTGTAAATTTGGATAACTGAGCTGCTGTATCCTCTGCTGACCATAATTGGAGACGCGGCAGGGATGGAGGCAGTAACCCCCCAGCGCCGCGCAGCCACATGCAGAGCTGCTCTGAGACAGACCCGATTTGATGCTATTTGCTCTAATTGAAAGGGGGAAAGGTAGATGTAGGGAATATTTCCTGTGGTGATGTGCAAGAACCTCTTAAGTGTTAAAAGGTGGCAATAAAGAGGAAAAACATTTACCTTGTTCCCCTAGAAACCAGGCCTGATGACTGCACAAGCTGGCGGGCTCCCTGTCAGCCTCATTTGACATGTGAACCTGCTGCCTGATTTCAGCCAAATGTAATGAGAGCTCTCACCCACTGGTTTGGGTTTGGTTTTTTTTTTTCCTTCACAAGTCTCAAATAGGCAGGTAGGTAGAGAAGAGCCCTAAATTAATATTCCCCCATGCAGGAAAGTGGAACTTCCAACCTCAGTCCATCTTGAGGCCGCAGTTTTATGAGCAGCGCTCAAGGCTGAGGTTTGTTCCTGCTCAGTAGATTCTTTGGTGGTCTTTTTGCTTGGCTTGGAGATGGACATTTCAAACCGTGTATGTGCTGGCTGGCTGGCAAGTGCCTGGCTCTAAGCCAGCCCTGTCTGCTACTGCTGCTTCGATCGAGCCAGTCAGGCATGTCAGGGCAAACTGGGATTACTGGGATAAACGGTCAGGTGTTGGGGATGAGCATCCATACCAAATCAAACCTTGTGGTGAGGGCTCCAGAGGCAGCTGGGGAGCTGGTGAATGGATTTTGAAGCGGCAATGGTAGTGGAGGGAATTTTTAGTCAAATTGGCACCTACGCAGAAGGTTCTGAAGAAACACTGTCCTCACTGAAGGTGCTTGGCTCGTGTCGAGCAGGAGGAGCTGCTTCAGCTTGGGGACCCAGTGCCAGGCTTGGGTTTGTTTATTCTTGAGGCATTGGTTGCTGACTGATAAGACACTGGATGGGGTGGGGGGGAAACTCCAGAAAAGTGGTTCTTAATCCTTTTCCATCCCAGAATCCTGGGGGCAAGAGGACACCCAGCGTCAGGAGGTGGCGCTCCTCTCTCTGTAGATGGTGTGTGGGACATTTGTCCCCAAGGGCTTGTTGGTGGGCCTGGCCTGGAGAAAAACCCTGCTTAGCTGAGGCCAGGTCAGCCAGGGGTACCTGCTCCCTCCGAGGGCCCTCTGGAGCCCAGCGATGCTGGGTGGCTCCTGGGGTCCAGGTTTTGGGAGGTCCCTGTCAAGCTGTGTGGGTAGGGAGGCAAAGCTGGGGAGGGCTGAGCTGGCTTCAGCAAAGCTTCATGCTCCCAATGCCTGGGTCTGCCCGGCAGCCCTCATCCCCACCAGCCTTCCCGCTCCTGTGGACTATCCGTCCTCTCTTTTGGGGGACAGTCCCCAGTGCAATAGGCAGCAATCAGTGCAGGTCAGACAGGTCCAGCAGCGCCCTTGAGAGCCCAGAAACTGGTTTTAGGATGGCTTATGGTTTGTTTTTTTTTTAAACCACCCTCTCTTAAAATTAAGCTTTGTCTCTTTGGCATGGTCATCTCACCCCCTGCAGCTCCCCAAGTGCCATGGTGGTGCTGCTTGAGTGCATCTTCCCTGCTCCAAAATGGCCAACGATGTCTCTGTCCACTCAGAAAAGATCCCGCGCCCTGATGATGCCTGGGACCAACCTCAGAGCCACAGGAGGACAGGCACAGCCCTGACCCCTCCAAAATAGCACCAGGCACCGTGGGAACATGCCTGTCCCAGCTGGTGCCAGGAGGGCCACGGCTGGGAAGCAGGGCTGGATTTCACCCCCAGCACCCGTTGCTCCCCAGCTGCCAGCGGCGCAGGGGCTGGGATCCGGTGCTTCCCTGGCGGGGTGGGGGGAGCCGCTTTTCCAGCCTTCCTGGGGTGCATCTGGCTCCAGCACTGCCTCTTTCCCGCATCGGAGATGAAACGAAACGCAGCTGCAACGCTGGAGTGGAGATGTTAGAAGCATGTAAGAACGCCCGGGGGGGGGGGGACACAAAAAAAAGCGGGTTCAAGTCGGAGGTCTTGGCTCCTGCAGTCAGCTTCACAAGTGGCCCAGCTGACACCCCTGCCTCCCGCCCTGGCCCCTGCCTTTGATCCCGGTGACAGGCAGGGAGCTTCAAGTATGCTGGAGAGGGGATGAAGCTGCCCCAGGGGGAGCTGCGGCTGGGTTCACGCGCCGCACGGCAGCTTTTCTGCCAGAGCAGCTCCGCTGGGCTTTTCCGAGCGCGGCATGTGTTTGATTTGCAGCCCCCCTGGCCTGAGAACTGCTTTTGTACCTGACAACTCTCTGGCTTCTCACCAACCCTTAGAAGTGCCTGCAGGACCTGGGGGGGGTGGGATGGATGCGGCGGGGAGATGGGTCCCCATGGAGGTCAGGCCCTGGCTGCCTGGCGGGTGTGGGGGTGGAGGGCAGCCCTGCTCTGGGACTGCAGCCCCACGGGCACCCTGAGCGCCCCGTGCCAAGGCAAACCCAAAGCTCCCCCATCCCTATGGCCACCACAGCCTCCTTGCAGTTGCGTGTCAGTGGTCCCAGTGCAGCACTGCTCCCTGGATGGGCACAGGGCTTATGGGAGCCCACGTGAGTTTTGGGAAGTCTTCTCATCTTACCCCCCCTGCCCGCCAGCATGGTACTGGGGAATCACGTGTTTCTGTGGTAGCTGTCGGGCACAGCAGGGGAGACTAAATTTATCTCCTACTGCCTCCCAACTTCCCCAAAATGTGGCTGTCCCCCATGGGGGCAGCTGCTGTGCCGAGGTCCCCAGGGTTCCCAGGTGTCCCTCAAGAGGCAGCACCAGGGCTCGGCCCCCCACCAGTCCCAAAGCACCCTGATGCCGGGCAGCACTCTCGGTAGCATGTATGGCACTGAATTCAAACCCAAGGATTTGAAGTGGGAAAAGGTGTACGCCCAGATTCAGCCTGGTGCCGTAAGGGACACCGGGACACCTCCTGGAGGCTGTCACTGGGCTCAGGCATCGCTTCGTGCCCAGCTGCCACATCGCGGGGCTTTTTGAATACATATTTTTTTAACTTCTTTACTGACACCAGTGGCGGTAGAGGCTGAATTAAGCCAACAAGGGCTGCTCCTGCCGCGCACGGCCGTGTGTGCAGTTGGTGGGAGAGGCTCCCCCCCCATGTCCATCATCCCATAGGGACAAATCTCCCCCAGCTTTATGGCTGGAACCGTCTGCCGTGCACTCTGCTCCTATCCACCACAGCGATTGAGGGCTGGAGGGAAACCAAGGTTCATTTTTCCCCTTGGGAATCAGCCAGCAACCGGGGCCCTGTTGGACCAGGTCAGCGTGGAGCTGTTGATGGCAGAAGGTATTTATAATCTTTGTTTGGTTCCAGCAAGGCTGGACGCCCACTCCTGTTTCCCTCCATACAATAAGATCAAACAGCTCCGGGACATTTCCTCGCTCCTTGCAGATGAAATCCCTGCATCTGCCTCGCTGCTCCACCCTGCCCAGGGCTGCAGCCTCTTTCTTTGCTTGAAGACCTGGAGGGTCACTGCTG